ACACTTGCATAGATAATCAGTATTTGCTGATTTTATAGGTGCTTTCATACTATGTATTTAAACTTGTTAATTTAGAAACAATTTATTCTTCCGTGAACCAGGCAACATTGGAAAATTGGATACAGCATTTCATATTTAACTGTTATGTAAAATGGGAGGAAGTTTCTGAAACTGATTTCACTTAATTATTTCAGAAGTTATTTTTATGTAAATGAATAACAAAGCTATTATAAAGTATTAGTTTTTATATAGTAGCCATCATTTTAGTTGCAAAATATACAGTTAAAGGCATACTGAAATAGAACAGTCACTAAAACGAATAGTGACCTTAAACTTTAATTCCAACCTACTTTTTTGCTCATAACCTTCTGGAATTCCTTCTAGTTTAATTTATTTTTTCCATATTTGGTATCTTTTTTTTTTTTTTTTTTCTGAAGCTCAAGAGTTAGCGAAAACTCTGAGCCTCATTTAAGCTGCACAAGCCTGAAATATTTGTTCCCTATATGTTGCTGTCAAGAAACATCAAAAACAATGACAAACAAGAATAGCTATTAAAAAATAGCTGAAATTTAAAGCTTTTAACTTGGTTTGTTCTGTGGATCTCAACCATAAAAAGTGAAAACAAGTCAAAAAGCTAAATTCAGAGTGAGATAATTTTGTTGGAGCTGTTCAAAGATGGCAGGCAACAATGGGTAGACATATAATTTTCTCTACAGTGCACATATATTTGAGTTCTGCTGTGCAAAAGTTTTTTGAGGTTTCTAAAGACAGTACTTTAAAATATTATGGATAACCCTCCAATTATGTTTAACTCTAGCCTCTAACCCTTTAGCAAGGCCAATTTTAGGCTGCTACTATCTTGAATTTTATTTTTTCCTAACTGAATTCAACTCACAAAAAGCAAATAAAGGAATTTTAAAATGTTATAGATGTATTTGTCATGACACATTTATAACTCTGACTGTCTCCAAGAACTTAACTGAAGGATAGCTTTATTCAGAATGCCTTTATAAGTGCATGCACAGAAAAAAAGGGGGATGAGGGGTGGCGAGGGGAATGTCCCAAAGCTCTGCGGGCTGTGGCTGTAAGGAATTTACAAACTTGGCTGGCAAAATTGGAATGCATATATTGTTTTACACTAATAAGATCATGCTTCACAAATTGGAGAAAATTAAGTTTGAACCAACCAACATACTGGTTGGTATGGTAGAATGATAATAAGCTCAGAAATATTTGTCTTTAACCAACAATACTGTTCCTTTCAAATGGAACAAGGACTGCTAACCTTTGGTGTTTTTCCCAGTTTACATAAAACCTTTGGGTAGCCTGGCATATGCATTGTACCTTTAAACACTTCCACTGAGACACAAACTGTTCTTCTGCTATTATGGCTCACCACATGATTAAAAACAAATTCTCATTTTAAAGAACAGTTTGTCATATTTGTAACAAAAATGTGAAGGAACAGTTTTGACTGTGGTTTGGTTCCAGCTGAAGGGCAGGGGGAGGAATACAATCCCCGTTCCTAAGGAGGACCTCGGTAGCACCAGCGTTCTTGACAGTTTTCTGACAGAGTGAACTATAACCTAAGAACAGATCGTCATCTGTTTACAGAGAAGAAATTCCATTAAGTCTCTTTGAGACAGTCTTTCCCAACAGAATCTTCAGAGACATGAATTAATACTGTATGCTAGACCTATTGCCCTAGAAGTATAAATACAAAGTATACTAGGGAAACAGAACAAATTATCAGCCATAAGCACAGATCTCCTTACTTTCATGACTGTTTTCATGAGATAGATGTTTCTAGTGCTTCCAGCTTTTCAAGACATTCATGGATTTTTTGGTTACATCCTGGGGATTTCTGAAGTATTAAGCATCATTTCTTACATATCAACGTAATTTTTTCCCTTGGCAATAGGCTCTTAGGGAGCCTGTAGGGAATGCAGTACAAGTCTCCACATAGGGATTCATTTCCAGTTAACTACTACTAGCGTTATTTCAAATATAAAACACTAGTTTCCCTCATTCTATGATATTATTATAGTTTGGAGCAAATAATTCATATACAATGAGCTTCTTCTAAACTTTATGATATGCAAACTTTCTTTTATTTTCTGTAGTGCTTTTTCTGAACTGATGTGCTGTGCTAAATAAATACACTAAAGTAAAAACAACAACAACAACAAAGACTAAACACACCAATAAACCCTACCCTCTGCACCAGTCTACATTAGTTATTTTGACATGGAAAAAAAGGATGGAAGGAAAGAAAGGGAGGGTGTCTAAAGGACAAAGAAGAAATTCTAGCTTGTCTCACAGTGGTCTCCAAGACATGTTATTAGTGCCTTCTTCCTACTGCTGTCTTTTGCAGCAATTTTGCTTCCACCATTATATTCTATCCTCATATGTTTTGTTTTGTTTTGTTTTTTAATTCAGATGACTCCATAAAGAAATTGGAACATTTGGGTGCCAATAATGATAGACAAATTGTCATTTTTTTGCTAAATTGCATTGTTTTTTGCTGTTGTTGTTCCCTGTAGTGAAGAGTACTTTTTAAAATGCTCAGTTGCTGTTACACTCACTTAAAAGATTCCCCAATATTAGTTAGTTCTATTTCTGAAAGTAAGGCAGAATGACAGAAACCACCACAGAGACATAACCTCTGTGGGAAGGAGAAAAGAAGAGCCGAAGAATGTCAGTGGCTGAGAGTAAATAAATTATCTGAACAAATGAGTGGAAGGTGCAGAGGGCAGACCAGTAGAGGACGATAAACAGCTGTGGGCTGAATTGTTCCCAAAAGGAAGGTACTGGAGAGCAAAAATCCTTATGCTGCTGTGACCAAAAGTATTGCTCTGATGAGGTAAATAGGGATGTATTAAAATCAAGCCCCAGTTAAAAATATCCCGATTCCAAGCTTTCCTGTGGAACAGCAGGACCTAACTCCAACTAACAGCAAACTGTCTTTCAAAGCTTCTAAGTTCATATACAGAGGAAGAGCGAGCGAGCACCAAGCGTGACTAGGAATAAATCCCACAACAGCAGCATCATAGCTCTGTTTTTTTGGCTCAGATTTCAGAGACAAAGACAAAATCATAAAAAGCTGCCAGAGCTAAGACATTTCCTCCGAGACAGAGAAAACTCCTCTCTTTCCAGACAGAGGCCTCATCACACATGCACAATGGAGGGAAGAGAATGTGATTCTCTGCAGGAAGAGGGAAAAGCTGCTGGCTGAGCTGCACAATGTTCTGCCCTTGTTTTGGGACAAGTCTCCAGCTACTGAGCTGCTGAAGTCAAAATGAAAGAAGTGTGAGATAACCGACTTAACTGACTTTCTGCTGTTGTACCCCTGAGAGCCTTTGTCTCCACGTTGCTCTGCTCCTCCAACACCATACAAGGCAGTCCCGGCAAGTGTTCTTATGAGGATGCTCTTCTATGTAAGACTGCAACTCGTTTCTGAACACATATATGGATTCTCTTCTGTACCCCTCAGAGACCCACTGAAAGATGCTGCGTGAGATGTATGCACAGCATAGAAAATGTCCTACAGTACTCTGACACTGTAGTAGTTATTTTGCTGTTAAATTCATATTTAGTTGTTCATAATGAATTAAACATGAAGATAAATCGTAGTTTGCTCAGCAAATCCTTACTGTTATTTATAGATGTATTTCATACTGTCCCTACATTTTCCTTTTTTTGGTATGAGGAAGAATAATCTTTTTGTTAATTATATGAAAGTGTGATGTAGAAATTATATGTAGGGACGCTAATCAGCTTGGCCCAAATGCAGGGAACAGCTGGATGATTGGACATTCGGGATGGAAAAGGCAAGCCATTTGAGACTGGGAGAGAAAAATACATCATATGAATGTTTCTGCTAACGTTATCAACTGCTGTGCTCATAATGATGGCATTCAGACCACCACTGCTACATGTGTCTTTACCTACTGAAACAAACAAACAAACAAAAACAAAAAACTAACTCTAAAACCATTAACATGAGATGGTTATCTAAGCGTAAAAACCACCCAGAGATAATGCTCTGTAGTGGTTACTTTGATACAGCTCATCAGGGTTACCACAGGTAGCAATAACCTCAGCTAGCTACACCAAAGTAAAAATATCTGTACTTGATTTCAAACTGGATTTTATGCCAACAGAACTGTTTCAAATTACCTCTTGTGATAGAACAAATCTTCCCTGCTTCTGCAAAAATCTTAAGTGTCAACATTAAAAGCGAGTTGGAATGACTATTGTGCTACTCAGATAAAGTTTTAACAAATTCTTTCAGTAATGCTGAGATCCTCGTCATCAGTTATATTCTGCTCATCTATTTGATGCTTGATTTTAAATCTCGTATTTTAAAAATCATGAAGTGAGCATAAGGATTTTTAAGTAGAGTTCTGCAACTGGGAACTGAGAGATTACTAAGTACCAATTACTTAAGTAAGTTACTGTCAGACACAGTTGAACTGTTTACACAGACTAAATGCTCAGAGGGATGCACAATGGCAGATTAAAAATAGATACCTGAAATTGGTTTCAACCATCTGCAGCACCCTTCCACCTGGGAATCTTACCTAGCAATTGAGTTTTTCCATCAAACACAATTTGTTTTATTGCTGCAGTTTTCAAACCACTATATTAAGGTAAATGGTCCTCAGATCTCTTTTACCTTACAGGCTGATCTGAAAAAGTGGCAGCTGAGGAGCTGATACATACCTACACATACTGTGCAGACAACAGAAGGGTAGGGAGCATACAAGGGAAGCAGCATCCAGTTTTAAGCCACTGTTGCACATATGCTGGTGGTTTCACTAAATACACAGCAGGAGTAGGGTTAGGGTTAAAACCTTAAGAACCCTAAACTTCAGAACTGAATCTTTCATTTTTGAATGAAAAAAATCCTGAAATTAATGTCACCAGTCTACTATCTATATAAAAATATGGACAAGTTCATTTCTCATTTTATAACAGAAAACACAAATATATACAGGTTTTGATAAAAAGGTTTCAGCATTTATTTTAGCCAGCATTGCTATATGCTGTTGTTTGTGATCTCCATGTGAAAGTAAGTTTCAAATAAATAAATAAAAAAGCAAGTACGAATGATTCACATGATCTTATGAAAATATGCAAGAGAAAACAAAACAAAACAAACAAACAAAAACAGAAAACAAGTGCTCAGATTGCAAAGTCAAATCTCAGAAGCCAGAAAATGCTCGAGTTAAGGTCTGTTACAGTTTAAAAAGCTTTTAATGTCAAGCTTTCTTCCATTACAGTAGTTATATATCATAATCACATTATCCAGTTATATTGTCGAAGAACTGAATGCATTAGGACTGCAACTGCATCATCTTCAGCCTTCATTTATTCGGTTCTCTTCTGCACCCCAATTTTTCAGTATCTTGAGAAATGCGACACAGAAACCAGAAAGCATGTCTCAGTGCTTGTTTTACCAAGGGTGTATTCAGAAGTGGTATCGCCTCTGCATATGCTCACTAATCCCTTGTTTATATGTGCAAAGAATGCATGAACTTCTTTTGCTACAGCACCATTCTTGTCGAGTTGCGTCACCATTATAGCCCCGAATCCTTTTACAGGTGCTGCTTTCCAAGCCAGAGCATCTCGCCTTCGGCACTGCGGTCACGGACCTCGGTCCTTGTTCCCAAATGCGTCAGTCTGAGTCTGCCTGTCTCAAATGCCTCCCGTGCCCCAGTTTAACAAGTAATTTGGATGCCTCTGAGAAATGTTGTCAGCATCATTTACATTCCACCGATCTTTTTGTCCTTTGCAGATCTTGTCTGCAACGATGCAATCATTTTCAGTGTTGTTTCAGCCTTTTTTATCCAGGCCGTGTCGCAGTACTCAGGAGGTGCCCAGCACCTGCACGTTCCCCGAGCGGCACAAGGCAGCCTCCGGGGACGGTCGCCCCCGGGTGGTTCGCGTATTCGGAGCAGAAGCCCCGCAGACCCGAGCCGCATCCGCAAGTGTTCAGCACCCTCAGCCTAGCCGAGGTCGCTGCCGTCCAGGCACGCTGCAAGAGAAAGATGAGGAACAGACGGAACGGAGCGCGCTCAAAAGGCCGCGCACCGGCACGGGTACGCCTGAGTACCCGGGTGAGCTCCCGGCACCCCGCCGCCCGGAGCCGTCGCGCCCGGCCCTGGGGCCGTCGGGGCTGGCGGCCGCCGCCAGTGCCCTGCCCGCCGGGGGGCGCTGCCGTGGGGTGGGCCGCGGGGCCGCGGGGCCTGCGCGCTCGGGGCCGGCCCAGGCCTGGCGCCGCCGGCACCCGCCCCGCCGAGCTCTGCTGCGGGCCGCGCCCGCCCGTCCCGCGGGGGCTGCGCCGAGCGGGCCGAGCCGAGCCGATCCCGGCCGAGCCGATCCCGGCCGAGCCGATCCCGCCGCCCCGCCCCGGGCGCTCCCCGCCCCGCGGAGCCGGTCCCGTGGAGAGGCGGGGACTGCGGCCGCCCGCCGGCGGTGAGCTCATCCCGGCGCCGCGCCTGCCTGGCCGCGGAGGAGCCCGGCGGGGGCCGCGCCGCGGGAGCCGTCGGGGAGGCGAGCGGGGCCCGCGCGGCGGAGGTGAGCGCTCGGCGCCCCGGCCCCGGCCCCGGCCCCTGCCCCCCGCACCCCCGCCCCACGCCGGCGGGTGCGGGCAGCGCCCTTCGCCCGCTCCCTCCAGCGGCGCTCGGCGGTGCCCGCGCGAGTGAAACTTTGCGGCCGCGGAGCGCGGCGGGGCCGGGCCGAGGCGGGCGGCGGGGCCGGGGCCGGGGCCGGGGTCGGGGCCGCGGTCGGGGCCGCGCGGGTGGGGGCAGGGAAGGGAGAGGCGCGGCGGGCCCGGAGCGGGGCGAGGCCCGGGGAGCAGCCCGGCAGCCCGGCCTGCGTGCCGGCCGGCGGGGGGAGCAGGAGCCCGGTCCCCGGCAGCGCGCCTGCCCTGCGCTGCTGCCGGCGGCGAGCCGTGAGGGGCGCCCGGGCGAGAGAAGGACGCGGGCGCGGCCGCGCCTGACAGCCGGGCTGCCCCGCGGCCGGGAGCGCCGGGCCGGGCCGGGCCGGGCCGTGTGGCGCCGCGGAGCGGTACCGGGGGCCCCGCCCGGGAGGCGCGGACGCCGCGCGGCTGGGCCGGGCCCCGCGGCCAAGGGCTCTGCCCGGTGCTGCCCGGGCCCCGGCGCCGCGCCTGCCCTCGGCCCGGCTGGCCTGCGCTGAGTGCTCGCACAGCCGCGCTCACCGGGTTTCGCAGGATTGCTCGGTCCCTGCTCGTGGCGTGTCGGAACGCAGCGTGAGCTCGTGTTTCGGACAGCGGTGGTTAAAAAAGTACCTCGATGGCCGTGAAATGAAAAAGCAGCAGGAAACAGGGATGGGAAATCAGGGTGGGATCTGGCATCCTGCAGAACTTCCTCCCGCGGCTGTTTGATATGCAGCTGCCAGAAATCGGCCTTCTCCTGTTCGCTCTGAGCCAACGCTTAAGTGATGGGAGAGTAGTATCGTGACATTAAATAATGCTGGTAAACGAGGTAAGCGTGAATACAGTTTCTGTTTGTAATTGTTAGTGCAGTGTGCTTAGAGCTTCGTGTACGTGGGCGCGCTGAGGTGCTACTCGTCTCGCTTTCTGGGCTTAGCTAGCCATCGGAATGGTGATAAATGGTGTCGGCTGCAGAGCCGAAACATGTTTGGCTCATTGCCAAAGTCGCTCAGCTTCCCATAACAGTCTGTAGGAAAAAGACGTTTTGTGTGTCTAACCACAGTCCTGAAGTTGATGCCATAGCAACTTTGTGATCTGAGCATACACTTCGGAAGACAGCTAAGCAGTCTTAGCAGAATTATTCTGTTCTTCTTTAGCTGAACTTTGTGCTGTCATCAGGATTAAGTCTTTCTTTGAAGATGAAAGATTAATCGACAAGCCTTCAAACTTTCTGCTGTCTAGGAACATCGGCCTGATCTGTTGGGTGTTTGTAATGACACCCATAAACACATCTGCAAATTGAGATTTATAATCATGGCTTTAAACTTAAGATTTGTCTGTAGAGATGCTCTTTTCACTAAATAATAGTATTTCAAGCGCTGTCAGAAGCTAGATCTTCGTGCTTTGTAGAAAGACAGAGGAAGGTCAGCCTTGGATTTCATGTATGACTATGGTTTGAAAAGGATGGGTCAGTTCATGTCTTTTGGCTGCTTCCAGCACCCTAAACAACACGCAGGCCCTGGAGAGTTTGTTTACCACAAAACTGTGGCAACAGAAAAAGAAGAAAACATATGGCCTTAGAAATGCACATGGCCTTATTTTTCAAAAATGTTTGTAGAGGCAATGCTGTTATAAAACTGGCTTTTAAATAATCTGTAAGGTATAGTTTAACAAATGGAGTGGGGAAAAAAAAAGCAAATACAAAAACAGTGCATGATCTTCCCAGTGCCTTTAGTTTTGTATTTAGCTGTAGTTTTAAAGGTGCCTTTTAAAAAAAGTTTGTTTTGGTGGAACCATAAAGTCTCATCTTGTCCTGAAGGGAAGTAAGTAAAGGGGTCATTTGCTCATAAATGCAAAATATCTGGTGCACGGCCTAATATTAATGTGTGAAATTCCTATCCTGTCTCTTTTTACCTTCTCCTTTAAAATTCATTATTTAGCATGACTGATTAAATTCTTTAGTATTTGTTGTGTTTAGGATATTTTTGTAAGGTTGTCAGCACACTTACCTGATTAAAGGTACTTGTCCAAGTATAAAATACACTGTCGAGATTTTGAGATGCTCCCTGTTCTGTTCTTAGCCTCGCCATGCACTGTGCATTCACTGTCCTGAGGCCAGTACAACGTACCTCGCTGCTGGTGCAGAACGGAGACAGGTTGAAGTACAGGGTCTGTTGCACAGTCTGAACCACAACACAGGTCTTCTGCCATCCGTTGTTGAGCTTTGGCAAAATACTGCACCTCTGATCTCCTTACTGGAGCAAAAATTTCCCGTTGCTTTCTGTTGTTGTTGTTCTCCTCTTGTCTTCACAAGGAGACTAACCCTGCAGTTTGCCTTGTAGTTATTTCAGGCTTCTGTTCTGTGTAGGTGCTGAATAACTGTAAACGTCTTTTTCATCCATCCTTGTCAAGCCTGCGTCTTGAAATACATGCAGTGTAGTTCTCATTAGTGTAATGACTTCAACTTTTTAATGTCTTGTTTCTTCAGTCATGTTTTTTGTTTGTTTGTTTTTGTTTCCTCCCCTCCACTCACTGGTAGGAGGCACACTAAGCCGTAGCCTTAAGCGATAAAGGCACTTTGGAACCAGAATACTGCATTTTGCAGTATCTTAATATCTTGGCTTAAGTGTTCAGCCTCCCTGTGTAATGTATGGAGATACTCCTGTACCTAAGTGATATTCATGAGAGTCTGGAAGCAGAAGGCTGGGTAACACAAAGCCTCTGTTAGAGGTGTTTCTCCATCGCTGGGAGAGGAATTGACTGGGAGTTTTTTTGTTTTGTTTTGTTTTGTCAGCTTCCTTAAATTCATGGTGCTGCTTTAAAGTTAGGACTCGTGAATTATCAGTAGAGGCAGATTTTCGTGTTTTAGATTTCTTTTCTAACACTACTCTGTATTTCAGAAAAGTCTCCCCAGACTCCAGACCGGGCCCATGATGCCTTCCTTGCCCTGTGATTAGCGATCCAAGTATTGCTCAAATTCAACTTTTTTTTTTTTTTCCTCTTGTAATTATGCATCACATTCCAGCGTTGTAAGAAATTAAGTATCAAAGAAGAGCATGCAAGGTGAACGTGCAACACGTACCCCCCTGCGTGGGAGGGGGAACAGTTACAGGTTTTGGGGGGGCTCGAGCACTGCCCATGCTGGTGGATGCGCCGTGTAACAACAGCGGTGGGTGACTTTGTGACCCAAGTCAGTGGCTTTATTGCTGAACCCTTAACTTAATTTCTTCCCCTTCCCTTCTCTGTGTTCCCCTGTCTAGTTCAGACAAATCTTTAATTAAGATACTCAAGAATTAGCATGGTTGTAACAAAATCTGAAGAATTCCTAAGCAGTCTCTTTGGCGTAATCCTAGCTGCCACCATGGTTGTTTTTCTAATGCAGAGAGCAAAGCATTCTTGGTCATGTTAAGAAGCCCTGGCTTCTAGTTGAACTTATGACTTCCTCTGTTAAGGTCTTTAATTTTTACATATATTTATAGAATTAGCAAATATTGTCAATACTTGTGTTATCTGTATCTAGTAGCATATGAGGTGCAGTTTCAGAAATGTGTAGGATGAAAGGGTGAGGGTTTGCTGCTTGTTTGCTGCATATTTCATATATTTGGTAATTAATAGTTTTAAAAACAAGATTGTATGTGGGATGGCTGCTGCCTTGTATCCAGGTTGCATATATGGTCTGGGTGGTTGTTTTTTGGGGGGGGGGATTGGGGTTGCTTTTTTGTGTGTGTGGTTTTCTTTTAGGGGGGAGGTTGATGGGTTGATGTTAGTTTTTATTTTTTTAAGACTTGATCATAGTCTTGGTTAAATCTAGATCCAGCCGGAGAGAAGCTGCAACTTGTTAGCAACACAGGAAACGCCCTCAAAGAAAGTTTTTGATGTGTACGTTAGTGCGTAAATGTGAACTCTGCAGCTACATGGCGGGAGTTAGGCAGTGGGGAGCCCTGTTCCACTGAAGTGTGGGATGGTTGGGTTTCTTTCGGTGTTCTATTAGCTTCTGGTGGAACTTTGCTGCTGCGTACTTAATTATATTTAAGTACTAATTATTAAATATCTATGACTTGTCGAAAGCTGGTAGTCATGAGTCAAATTCAGAGCTATTGCACTTAAAATAGCTGTGGTGTTTTAATTGTTGGAAGAGACAGACATGAAATTAAACTTTTTTTAAAACCAGCTTTGTTTCATCTGGAAAAATGTTAGAATTTGAGTAAAGACTACCTTTCTTCTTTCAATCACTTAAAATGAAACTAATCAGTTTCTTTCTTAACAGCTGTCCTTGCCTTTGAATCTCTGTTTCTGGCCAAACTTTAACAAGTTAGGGTTTGAACAACATAAAAGTAAGAATGAGTAGAAGCAGAATATGACCTGTGACTTCTGAAACTTAAGTGAAATTTAAGTTGCTAGAGAGCTTAATGTGTGGATTGGTTCTTTTGTTTGTTATGGGGAGGGGGAGGGGGGCTGTTTCTTTTGTGTTTTTTTTTTTGGTTTTGAACAAGAATGACAAAACATTAAAAAAAAATCGTAATGTGAATTCTGGAGGGGACTTATTTTTGTGGTTTACACCAGAAATGCCTTTGAGTTGAGTTGATCGTTAATGTGCTTCAGGGTCTGTTTTACACTGGGCTGGATTCCCATTGAGGTCAGAAAGGGAGTTTTTTTGCTTAAGTAAGGACAGAGTTTCTGGATTTTTCTACAATATTTGCCTGAAACTGAAAGTTTCAAGAAGGAGGAATGTTACTGCCACAAACTATAGACATAGTTTTGCTATGACAAAGTAAAATCTTCAGCACTTTCCAAGTACTGATCTCGAATCTTTGTATGCATGAAAGAATTACTTTGAAAAGTTTAAGAAACAATGAAAAGACGTCAGGGGAAAATTTCCCTTTATCCTCAGTTAAGTTATGCTTGGCAAAAATGGAATGGAGTAGGAACATTGTGCCTCCTGGCATGAGGTACCTGCCTACTGTCATGATGTACTACCAAGCTAGTGCCCAATTTCAGAGTTCTTAAAGCTCTGGGAAGGCAGAGATGGTTTGTGTAGGGTTGTCACTTCTTCTGCGTCTAAGCTGTTGCTTGCTTGTGCCACCGTGGTGCATTACCAGATGTGTTTTCTGTAGGTTTGCAGCAGGTCAATCAACGGGTGATGGAACACTTCCTAAAAATAACTTTACACTCATTCAGTGAAACCAGGCATGGTTTTGAAATCTTGGGGGGAAAAAAAATAATAAAGTGGTGTTTTACTTTTCCTGACCAATAATTCTGCACTTTATGACTAAAAGGCAACGCAGAAAGGAGGGCAAAAGTGACATTGTTATTTTGTTCTGTAGAGTTCAAAGTGCTGTAGAAGTCTGCACCAAAGGATTATGCCGCAAGATTTGTTAGAGGGGATTTTTCTTCCCGTGCCTCTACCACGTTCTCCCAGGGCTCTTGCAGCCTCTGCCGTAGCGTTTGCCACCACAGCCCCGTCTGGGGCTTCTCGAGAGAGCTCCTGGTGTTGACAAAGCGTTCTGCTCGGGTGCGTTGTCCCACAGAGAGCTGCTGGCTGTCTCTGAGACATCCATCCCTCGATCTGCTAGAAATTATATGCTTCCTGTGTTTTTTATTTTCCTCCTATTTTCACCAGGTCTGCTAATAGGAAAACCAAATGCTTTCTTCCTTGGTGGGACTTGCTTGGTTGAGGGAG